GAGCTGTCTATTAGGCAATCATTACCCCTTGCACCTATTTGGTCTAACCGTTGTTACAGGATCTCTATCTCAACACCCGAAATAGTTATCAATGCACAGAAGAATTTGATTTTTCATCGTTGGTGGGAATTGAACTCTGGATGTGCCACTTGGGGGCGACAACTTAACCACTTTACTAAGTCGCCACACCCCTGTGAGTTGAGTATTTGAAAATCAACCAATAGAATTTTTTATTAAAAATTACTTAATAGTAAAATTAAAGTTTTATTTTATTACGAATTATTTTCAAAGTACATTTATCTTTTATGTAAAATTATTGCGAACTATTTTGTGATTTTTGTATGATGAATTTTCTATAAAGATGTCTCGTGAATAAACAGGCGTTAGTTTTGACTATACGCGTCTTGTTTTCGGTTTCATCGGTTTCTTTACATAATTTATACCTTTTATTATTACTTAAAGTATAAGTTTCATAGTTTTCTATAACAAGTGAGTATATAAGTAACTTGTGAATTTTAGGCTTATCAATAGTATTCGTAATCAACGAACTTAATAAAAATCTCGTATAAGATTTGCTTGTAGGTCATTTTGTTAGCAAAGATCCAATAATTTTGAATTTAGTTCATTCTCCATCGGCATCAAGAGCCGTCGGGGGAATGAACTGTATTATTTATTTCATTTTCTGACGGTATTTTGATGCTGTAGGAGAACGAACTGAGTTTAAAATGTACTTACTTTTTATTATTTTTGCTTATGATTAATGGGTTCAGACCTAATTTTTAGGTTAAGTGCAACATGAAATTTGGAGTGTTTGCTGAATCAAAAATCGTTTTATTTTTATTTTATTTTATTTACTTCTCACTCTCGCCTAATCCAGTAGAAAATATAAAAAAATGAAAATCAGAAGGAATTCTGATAAAAAGAATAAAAAACACCAAAAAATAAAAAATATATATATGAAGGACGGAAAAGAATCAAAACCACAAAAAATAAAATATATACGTATTTACAAAAAAATTAGCTCTTTATCTCTTAAACTGTATATAGTGCAATGTTCGATTGCCAAATGAACCGTTTAGCAACTTGTTACCAATTTCTATAGTTTGAATATTGTCTTTCTTGATGCCCTTATTTAAAATACATTTTTCAACAGATAATATTAGAGAGTACTACCGATGGATAATGTTAATGATGTTATTGTATCAGTAAGATAAACATGAAACTTTTATTATCTCAAAAAAATATTTTTAGATTGAGCATTTTTATGATATATTATATCATATCAATATCAACTAGATGTTACAAACAAACAAGCTTTTTGTCGTTACATAATAGTCAAAAACGTGATTACAAAAGATCTGCAATTATTAATCTGGCAGAAAGCTACCACATTGCAAAGTTTACACTTCCATACATACAATGATTTTGCATAATGAATCACAAAAAACAATAATTTTCTCAACAATAATAAAAAATCAGGTAAATGTGTCTTTTATCCGATCAGATTCAGAAATGAGGAAGTATACTTCTCTCAATCAATAAATTCAAAAATTGCTCGATGCATCCTCTTACTCGGTGAGAATCAGAAAGGGAATGTATATATTCTCTCAATCAATAAATTCAAAATAGGGCGAAATGATCCTCTCATCTAATGAGAATCAGAAAGGAGGTTGTATACTTCCTCTCAATCATCAAATTCAAAAATGGGCCAAATGTGTCCTCTCATCCGACGAGAATCGAAAAGTAGGACGTATATATCCTCTCAATCAATAATTTCAAAAGGGCGACTTGCATACTAGAGTTGCTAGTGAAACTAGTGAAACTTGGTAAAACTTGGTAAAACTGGTGAATATCTAAAATCTGATTGGCTATTGAATGCAATATCCAATCAGATTTCAGATAGTCACCAGTTTCACCAGTGTAATTTAGTTTTACCTGCAGCTCTATTGCATACTCTCTTCCGTACCAAGAATCCTAGGTATCATTATTATATTTTTCATAATTAGGAACTTTATGAATTAGAATTTAGAGGATGTTGATCTAGTTTGGAAGATACTGTGAATAATAGATGAAGCTTATCTTGGGTTTAGATGTTTCAAAGAACTTATTAAACATCAAAGTAAATTTATTATCGATTCGTGCAAATGCAATCGATTACATTTACATCTGAAGTTAATGATTACTTAAAAAAACTACACCATGATTACAGATGCAATCTATTATTAGCTAATAAGGTTGAGTTGGATGTGTTAATGAAATGTATAATTTAATAATCAAAACCTTATTAGATAAGGAATTAGTTGATTTTATTAATTATCTCAAGATGCAAGACGTTTGCATTTTATCTAGTCTCCTCTATTATTTTCAATAAATTTAAATTTATTTTAATGATTATTCATTTGTGCTTTTAATGTAATGTTTTTTGATCAAACTGATGAATTTCATTGTTTTCTTTAATTTCTTTTGAGTTTATTAAAATATTTAAAATCACATGAACAAACCTTAATTTATTGGACAATTAGATTTATAAACTGTACAACAAACAAATTTAATATTATTATCTAATATAGTAAAATGGTTAAGGCGTAGCAGTCGTAGGTACGTACGTATGAGAAAAGTTATAAACAAACCAAAAATAACACTTTTTTTATTCGAGCCCCTACATATCACCACAGAACCGATATGATTGGTGTGTTGTAAATATGCAAGTAACATGTGTTGTTTATTTGATTTGATGAAAATTCATAAATTCACATGTCTTGAAAATATATTATAAATGATAAAAAAACCAATTATTTTCGTAAGTGAAATAAAGTACATCATTGTGAAAAATTTTAAAAAAATCTGAAACTGGTTTAATAGTCAAAGCAAACTCATCTACTATAACATCATTTAACCCTGTGTATCAAATAAAATTTTAAAATTATAATCACTAATACTTTCTAACTTAAATAGAATATTATTTTTCGTAACAGTAAGTTTTAAAAATTTTTTATCAAAAGGTAACTCTAGTTAAAATTTAACAAACATTTTAAAAACAAACTAAAGTTCTTGTAAGTAACATCTTTATCATCCGTTTCTTTATACAGTTCAAATTTGGTCTTTGAATATAAGAAAAAGTGTCTCATTAAACTTTCATAAATTTCAAAATGTTTTCGTTGATAATGAAGAATCAGAGCTTTTTGAACATCTTCTGGCTTCTTGTTTTGATAATTACATTTCTCTTGTTTACAAAATACTAGACCATTAGATTCTAATTTATAATTTTGATTATTTTTTTCTTAAGAATACTTTCAAAAACAATGTAAATTTATAACAGACTATGTCACACAAACCTAAAAAAATTCTCTCACATTTCAATATAAATGAGAAAAATAACACTTAAAGTAAAACATAAATTTTTGGTGGATAACACCATCAGAAAAATCTTAAAACCTATTTTCATGAACAAAATACATTACATCATTATGAAGAATTTTAAAGAAATTAGAAATTGGTTTAATTACTAAACTATACAAATTTAACTTTAAATCTCTGAAGAAGACTACCAACATGACTATAATACAAAATATCAAAATTATAATTACTAAGTTCAGCTAATTTAAATGGAATATTATTTCTTGTAACAATAAATTTTAAAAATTTTTTATCAGGAGATAACTCGAGTTGAAAATTAAATAAGAATTTAAAAAACACACCAAAATTTTCTTTTACTTCAACAATTTTATTCTCACTTGAATAAATTTTGCATACTATTTCGCAATTTTACTTTTCTATTATATACCATTCCTTAGTATAAATGAGATTTTTTAATTTTGAGTTGCAATAAATTTCCACCAAAATGAGCGACATGAACTACTCTATCAATTCTAACCTCATTCTCGTAATAATATAATATGAATGTATTTGCTTTGGTATGATTCGGTTTTAAAAACTAGGGTATAAAAGAACCAATAAAAGTTTTTAATTTAATATTATTATTGCTCTTAAGAAAAATTAATAATATCAATAGAAATAAAAGTAAATAATTTAATATTGAAAATAATCTAATCAATATTAGATACTTTTATAAAAATTTAGACTGTAATATTTTTTATTTACAATCAGATGTGAAATTCATAAATTCACATGTATTTTCTAAATTCACATGCCTTTTATTTAAGTATTTGCTAAATTTAATACAAGCTCTTGATACATTTGAAATCTAATTTATCACAATCAAAAATTTTATTATACTCTCAAAATTTTATCTCTTTTATCCTTCATTTTAGATAATTTGGCAACATTGTCATTATAAATATCCTTGACTGCATTCCAATTATCCTCCTTACTCGAAACTTAACCGATATGAGAATGTTAATGTATTTACAAACTTTTTTTTTAGATAAATATTTCGGTCACAACCCAGCTTAAAAGGATGCGCATTAAAAAGTCACGTGAATATTATTTTAATTTATAATTCGATTATGTTTTTACATACAAGTGCAAATACGCACTTTTTTAGTATCACTTGCATATTTGCACCAATCACGATACAACATATTGTGGAAAAATCAATTCAAATTGTTATCGATTTTTGGTCGCTATGTTGGACATATCTCCACTGCATGTTTTTGATTGGTTTCGAATTTGATCAGTCGATCATTCGAAAAGAATTATAACCAATTAAAATTTGATAAAATCACATTTATTTACATGTTGTTTATTTTATTTTACAAATAACAGATAATATTTTAAAACTAGTATATAACCTGTCGTTTGCGCTGATGGTATACAAACTATACTGATACAAATATTTTAAAATTTATAAGTAACCTTTAGCCAATACAAAGTTGTTAATCGTATAATAATAATTTGTCGCAAGTACGTATTAAATTTAATGTAATACAAATATTTTTATTTACGTGATTTACAATACAAAAAATCAAAATATTGTGTTTGAAAAAATTTACATGTCTTTTATTACAAAAATTAATTAAATTTGAATTCTGAATAATCTTTTAAGATTTTATCGCGTTTTCTTTCATTTTAGCTAACTTTAATACATTTTCATCATAAATGTGTTTGACAGCATCAAAATTATTTTCAACAGCCGCTCGTACAAACAATAACCTTATACTTTCGTCCAAGTGTATAATAGAAAGTTTAGATATATCTTCATATTGAAGAAAACACCATTTATACTTCTTTTTCAATTCCTCTAATTCATTTTTTATATCAACATTTACATTTACTTCAACACAAGAATCTTTTACTTCAATGATGTCAGATATTATTGGTTTATCATAATCAATACTTTTCTCTTTTGAATACGGAGTATGTCTTTTTGAAACAAGTGACATCGAATGTTTATTATCATAATGTTCTTTAATAGCACGTTTTACATTTACAGATTTTTTCGAGCCTGATAAGTACAGTTCTATTGGGTACAATAAATCAGACCATTTTCATCTTCTTCATATTTTCTGTCAAAAGATTTTATTTTCATTTTTTATTTTTTATTAGTCTTAACTACATTCTTTACAAGTTTATTATATAAACCTTTAGATAATATAAATTTGAAACATGAAAATAAAAAACTATTCTTTACTGTTCATAAGAAAATAAAAATACATTTTCGTGAAAAATTTTAAAAAAACTAGGAATTGGTTTAACAATCAAAGTGAACTCATATATTTTAACATCATTTAACCCTTGTGTATAAAATAAAAATTCAAAATCATAGTAACCAATCTCTGCTAATTTAATTGGAATATTATTCCTCATAACAGTAAACTTCATTTGATTTTAAGATAACTCGAGTTGAAAATTAAATAGAAATTTAAAAAACACACCAAAATTTTTGTAAGTAACAACCGAATCTCTATATGGCTCAAATTTGGCCTTTAAAGTATATTCCTTCTTTTTTGAATATAGAGCAAATCGTTTTATTAAAGTTTCGTAAATTTTAAAATGTTTACGTCGATAATGTTGACATAAAGCTTTCAGGCTTCTTGTTTTTATAAGTACAATTTTCATGTGCACAAGATATTTGACTATTTGATTCAAATTTATAAAATTGATCCATTTTTTTTTTAATTTTAAAAAAAAAATCAAAAGAATATTTATAAAAAAATAAATTGCACCTGCATCAAACATCAATGCAACATTTCAAACAGTAACAAAATTACAACAAAAATTGTCACAACAAATGTAAAAATGTATTTAAAAATTAATAAATATAAGTGATCAAAAATTCTTAATTGTGAAAGAGAAAAAAATCTCGTACCGTAAAACGATATAAGCGTAAATTTACAGACCTGTTTACGAAAACAGGGTGTTTTGGAGTAATTAGCCAATTGGAGAGCTTGAATCTAATAAAATATCCATAAATATGACAGAAAATTTACTGTAAAATTTATGGAAAATTTAGAGGAATAGCGCACTGTGATTGGTTGATGATGGTTTTTACAAAACATAAACGGATTGAAAACGTAAGAGCTAATGAGAGCGTGTAATTCAGTAACATGTATGGTAGATCTTTTTTAAAAAATTTTTGTTATCGATCGATTTTCTAGACACATAGTAGTTACTTTAACCAAATTAAGGTTCAAATAAACCTAGATTGGGTTTGTTTGAACATCAATTTAGGTCTAGAATCGACAAAGTCACGCTCAAAGGCGCAGCAGTTTTCGGGTTGTTGATCACTAATCAAACCTCGATTTTTGACCAATCACAGTCCGTTATCCCCAGATCTACACAGTTTTAGTAAATCGTATATTCTTTAATAAAAAATAATTTAGTTATGTATATAACTATCGTATAATAGCTATTGAGATTCCCATCTGACGCTCTATTCGTACTATCTGTCAAGCTCACATTATGACACTTTGGACATTCCAACATCGTTTCCAACAATGGTCT